AATATACAACACAACAGCATGTCCACGAAACCTAGATAACTCCTCACTACACTCAGGGCATTGAATGTTAGCCCTCTCAGTAGTGCCATCACTGTGGCTGACGCTATTGCCACCGTCGTGTTCTCATCCGTGTGCATACTTTAAGTTCATGCGCCAGTTTGAGACCTATATAGAGTCTAGAGTAGAGGACAATAGCCTGTGATTATTGTTCTTGATCCATTACTGCAAAGGAAAGGCAGGGGTTGCGATTGAGGTGTGTCTTATCATGGAACCTCAGGTAGGATATAAAGAAGCTAAGGACATTCTAAAACAGCTCTTTGGAAAATCGCATGTAATCGCTCGTGAAACATTGGAAGAATTGTTTAGGTCTGGGAATGCCGACTACAATGACGCAGAACAGCTATGGAATTTGGCAATCAAGATGCAGAACGTGGCTGTGACTTTGGAAATATTTGACGATAAAATATCCAAAGGATCTTCCTCCAAATATTGTTTTGAACTATAGAAATATTTACTACACAGTGAGCTCTGAATCCAAAAGGTGTAGGTTAACACGCGTCTCACCCAGTCCAAGTCCAAAAATGATAAATCTGGGAAAGAATGGTTCTACTTTTAATCAAAAAAGGAAATACAGACAATTAACAAAACAATATTGCACCTTCGAGTTTCTAATCACATCAATAAGTTCCGATACTGGAAGAATAAGTGCTTACAGGTAGTTACAACGAGCTGCTGCTAGAGTATTAAATCCAAAAACGGCTGTAGCCATATTAAGTATCAATTTTAAACAACACATATATAGTTCAGAATGGAACATAGAAACTTCAATATAAGTACAAGATATAGAAATAATAATAAGATACAAATGATAAAATCCAAAAATGGGATCAAATAGAATACCAAAATATCAAACAGAAAGATTCAGTCAGATCATAACACAATTATATTTACATGGGGGGTGGATTTCCAAAACTAAAGCCTTCAAAATAGATTCTAAAGCGCGTAACTTTTGGTAACTGTTTTTGGAACAGTATGTAAGATGTTGTTCAGCAGTAAACACTAGTGCTAGAAACAGAGTTCTCGGTCCACTTGCTGCCGATTTTCCATCAAAGACGACATATTCAACCGTTTGAATCACAGCTATTGTTGTCCATTGGATGTTAGCCCAGTTTTTCCATTACATGTGAAGGCTTTAACGACTTAATCGCTTTTTGTTTGACAAGTCAGTTCTGAGGAGTTTCCAACCACAACGTCTTCGTTCGTCAACATAAAGTCTAATCGTGATAGTGACTGATTGCTTTAGCACTTATTTATCAACTTTACACTGCCTAATATTCCCGACGCTTCAATGAATTTGAAGAACGAAACGTCAGCAGAGTTATTAGGTACTTGTCCAGTGTGTTTATCCAGCGAAGTTGACCGTCGGAAGATTTATGTCTCTTAAAATAAGAGCATGCCTGTATCCGATACGAATAAAATGAAATCCTCCCTCCAGTATACTATTGTTGTCATACGGTCAGATATCTTGATGTGCTAAATAATCTAACTGGGTAGAATACAAATTCGACAAGATTGACAAACTCTCGGGCTAAACTAGATTAAGGCGGGATTTCAGCCGAAGATAGCAGATATTTTGGCGTGATTATTCGTCCGCTAATGCTGTAATACGATAAGCATTCAATACTGTTTGAACCATTGGCAACGGAACATTCTGATACACCTGGGGTTCAAAGGGATGTATACGTTGGTGGATATCACGAAGATTTATTTAGACATCTGGTCCTTCTACATGACAATGACTTTCTAAGCGTAGCCGAAAGTCACGTCATCTAATTAGTAGCACATAAATGAAATCTGTGGTGCCGAGGGAGCCGATTGCCGGAGCGATTAGTTGAAAAGCTTAGGGAATCACATTTGCTGTTGGTTTTCGCCAGAACCGTGGCGTCCTTATAAAGATACAGCCAAGACTTCTTTATAAAAAATTCCAGTTGAACTTTTGTGTGTTTGTTAGCTCACCTGCTTCCATCCTGATCTGATCCAACCCATCTCAATCGAGGGGGAAAATTGCTTGTGGTGAAAACTCTCAGTTTAGCATGATCGGCAGAAACATTCAGGCCTCAGCATCCTACTTCTGCTGATGACTGGGGTGTGGCTTGTGGTTAGCGTAGAAAGGTTGAGTGAGTTCGTGAGTGTAGTGCATGATTATGCCTGGCCATGGGGCGATCGATGTGAGTTCCGACTGGCGCATGAGATGAACTACTCAGTATGTGCATTTCTTCAAGAGAGAATGGACCTGAGTTTCTGTGGACCATGAGACCCCTTGTGTTGTGTAAAAGTGACACACATGCATGTGTAGTGTGTTCGTTAGTTACCTCTCACGTAAGCTGCCTAATCTATTTTTCCTTCTGGACTGATTATCTGTTCACCTTAGTGTTGCAAAAGACCCCATCTTTCAAAGAGTATTTCTAATCCGTTTCCACCACTATTCTTTGTTCAGCCTTAAGATAAACTGTTTGTTTGTCAATAATACCGGAAATACTTTTGCGATTGCTTCGCAAGTCCGAGGTATCTATTTCGACCTGGTAGAACCTTGTTAATTTCTGTTTATCTTTAATTGTATCGTAAGATTACCCTTATTTTCTGGTCAAAGCCCGTAAATGTGAATCGGCTACGTATCTTCTAAACGCCAGGTGGTCACGAGAGTTTTGTGGGCTGGTATTTGATGACCAATTGGAGGTGGCGAGCAACACCATTCAGAATACTATCCTGCAAAACATACTTCTGAAAATCATAGGTCTAGGGTGAGAAGATCATGTGTTAAGCGATGCACAGAGCTCGAGTAACTGGAACAACTGTCCGAAGTATTTAGATCATAGATCCTACCGGGCTTCGAGTCTCAGATGCAACGTCAAACCAAACGATAAGCGATATTTCCACACCAAGCTAACAGCTGAAAGTCAATTAAACTACTAATTTCTTCACAAATTCATTACCAACGTAAAACCTACGAAATCTAGTGTATGGGTTCTCTAAGGTACAAATGGTGAGGATCTTACTGGATTAGGTATTCACTGCCAACTCAACCGATCAATGGAATCAACTTTTTACAAGCGCGGAACAGTTTTCAACTTAATTGCCAGCTGAAGGACCGGAAAATATTCAATTAGCCTTCAGATTGATATCAAGAAACCTAAACTCCTTGCGCCATGGAAAGTAACAAGGATGCAATAACAGCCGCTCTTTAAGCCGAAAACAGTGAGAGAAACCTATCACTTCTCCGGTATGTGACGTGTTCCGGCATTTACTGAAGTCACACCAACTATTAGCTGGATGGAAACAAGCTACTCTCTCTCCAATCTTCAAAGAAGGAGTTAGGAAGGACCCAGCCTGTTACAGACCAGTTGCATTACTACCAATACTATGAAGGTGATGGAAGGACTGGCGAACGAACAGATGAGGGAGTACAAGGTTAGCAACAAAATCCTTCATAAAGCTCAATACGGGTTTAGGAAAGGCAGGTCGTGCTCATCCAATCTTCTCACAGCATGGGACAGTTAAACATCCTGCTTGGACCGAAAAATACCGGTGCAAATAATATTCCTTGACTTCGCGAAAACCTTCGACACAATACCCCAAACACATTTAATTGCGAAGGTTGCAGAAATTGGCTTCAGTCGCCCACTTCTATCTTAGCTCAAAGTAAGCAGTGTGAGTAGGAGCTGACGAGTCTCAATACCAGGAGTTCCACAGGGGAACATCTTTTGTTTACTTCTCTTCCTAAAATTCACCAACGACCTCTTATGCAAAGTCAGCTCCGCAGCACTGATCTATGCAGACGATGCAAAGAGCGGGCAGTCCATGAGAGGCGAAGAGGATTCGACTGAGCTCCAAAAGGACCTTACATCCATTAAGGAATGATCAGTGAATAACTGTTTAAAACTAAACCAGAGGAAACGTCACGTTATGTACATTCTGGGCCCACATGATGCAAACAATTTACTCCCTCAACGGAAGTCAGCTCCATTATGTATCCTCGGAGCGTGATCTCGGTCTAATAACCACAAAAAGCTTAGACACCAGTTCGAACTATATAGAGGACGCAGCCAAGGCTAATGCAGCTCTTCACTTTACGCGAAGACAACTCGGTGTTGTCACCCCACAATTATTCTTAACTTTGTCTAAGGTATACGCACGCCCACGCCTTGAGGTTCAAAACGTTGTCAGACAACCTCTCCTTAAAAGTGACACAAATCTCCTGCATTGAGTGAAGAGAGGAGCAACTAAATGAGTGATAGAGTCAAAGAACAAGCCTTAGTAAAAACAGACTCCAGCACCTGGAATTATTCCTCCAGAGGGTCAGGACAATCATAGACGATCTGATTATGGCGTACAACATATTAGGCACGTCAAACCATCTGAAAGTGAGCACCTTACTAAATCATCACCAGCACGTTCGCGAGGTAGTCCTCGAAAATTTGCGCATCAAAGATCAAACATTAAGAGTAGTTGCAACTTGGAACGTTCTACCAGCCGAGGTGAATACAGCCGCTTCAGTGGACAGCTTTAAGAAGAGACTTGATAAACACATACTCACATATGGATTATCATTTCCTCATGGACGAGCTGTGCCTGACGTATGTCTTGGGACATGCTAGTTGTTATTATTGCCATATTCTCAGACCACAAACCTAATCTATATCGCTTATTATCAGGCCCAGATCCCGTTTTTCTCGCGAGACGGTCAACAACAGAAGCTAACTCGGACATCAGAGTTCTTAATTTCAGCAATCTCTGGGAACCTCTAGCTTCGTGTGAAGGAAAAAGCCAAGAAATCATTTCGGAAGGTAGTCGTCTTTGTTTTAGAATTATTCTGTTCCATATCTTTGAAAATGTCACAATACTGCAATATTTTTCTGAATCAAGGTAATATGATGCAATGTTTCTCAATGGAACCTTATGTAACTGCCAGAAGGCACTCAATCCAATATCCAATATTGGATATTGGATTGAGCCGGCGGCTAACTTAAATACAGCGTAATAACGAGATTCTCTGATTCTGTTTGTTTTCTCGAATCATACTAGCGTTCTCTGTGTTTACTGCTTCTGTATAATTCAAAGGTTAGGTTAGCATCTAGATTGAAATGAGTTATATCTTACACAAAGTGTGGTGAGAAACCTGGAACCGTACCGAAGGAACAGGATTCGATCGAAAAGAAATCAGTCGATTTTGTACTAGCTGGAGGAAAAAGTATTAGGTTTTTGACAGTATCGCATATCTTTTTCACGAGATAACGTAAACTAGTCGATTTATTTCCGCTCGTTTCCTGTTGTTTCGGTATATTTCTATGCATTTGGTTAGTTACTTCTATTTACCATTCAACACTACGTATTCGGGAGGAATCGGGGTGAACCTTGGAAAAAGACGTGGTTAGATTCTAAATTTTGCGTTTTACTTTCCCCACTCTGAGCATTTTAATGGGACCGTCGTATAACTTGGATGAAATTGAAACAAATGTACTCATTCAAATCGGGGGACATACAAACTCACAAACAGTTGCCAACTGACTAGAACTAGTGCAGTCGAGTGGCTAGACCACCATCCATTGAACACTACCAGATACCTGAAACCGTACCGAAAGAATAAGAATCAAGCCCAAAGAGACCAATTGGTTTATACTAGTTCGTGTATAAGATATTGGATGTAGAGGAATTTAGATACCCTAATATCTTCCGCATTTCACCTTATATCTTTGAAGTTGTTACAATAAATGCGTTACCATATCTCTACTGTATCTGTTAATATACGGATAAGAACTTTTAAACGGATAATATATACAGGCATTTTCGAATGTGTGAATAAGGTAGAGGTGATATTCGAAATTGAAAGCAAAAGGCTACAGTAAGGCTACATTTGACATTTCTTTCACTAGTTTGGTAGATCCACTTGGTGCTTGGCATTAACAATGTGGGGTTATACCGATAGTTATTCTACTAGATCTTAGGTGATTAAACGTCAACTACCATCCTTGGTCACGTTAAAGTACGGACAAGTCTCATGATATTGCCTTCAATCAATAGTAGATCGGAGAATTATCTGAACTATCAAACGTTTGCAGAGTCCATTGTTTATTTTTTTGTGTTCATCTAAGTGAACAGGAAGCTCAGTGATTATTCGTTTCAAGATACTTCGGTTATTTCCATGTGAACCCTTTGAGACATCCTACTCTTAAGTAATATTTAAACACAGTTGTCATGCAATTATGCACCAAGTGTCGCGTTTTTGTTAGAAATTTCATTTTCGGTGTGTTGGTGTCCTGAGATCTTGGAACGAATTCGAAAAGCCGGGTTAGTGTTCGGTCACTTAAATCACTTGCGGCGTATGCAAGATATTCGTTTGTCACTTAAAAGGCGAGTTTACTGCGCAGCAGTTCACTCTATGAGCATGAAACATGGCCTTGAAGAAAAGAGTATTCGTAGGTTACTGGTATTCGATCATGGGTGTCATCGAAGTACTACTCGTATATTTTGAAACTGTTGGGTCAGCAATGATGAGGTTAGTCTAAAAGCATTGGATAAATATCTAAAATCAGTTGACTAAGTGATGAATCTTCATTACTTGCGGTGATTGGGACATGTTTCATTTGCCCATCCACTGATTACCTTAACAGGTGATGACGGTTGATGTAAAAATAGGTTAGAAGAAAGCTGGATGTGGCCAGACGAAGACATGGCATCTGTTCATGAATTAACTGATTCTTAAACTGAACCATATGTGTGCGGGAAGACTATCTAGCTGGAATCCGCGCGATAATCGCAACCAGTGGTTCAGTCAGTCAGTTACAACGTTGAACTTCATACATGAGTACATAAATTCAGGTTGACATACCTGATCAGCACAGAGACGTAACTGTCAGTTCAAATCCCATAGTTGCAGTGATTGTGAAAGTATTAGGAATAATGGAGACGATTAGGGTTCGAAGATATAATTCGAGAAGTATAATTCAGTGAGGTAAATTTAGAAAGAGAAAGATATTCATGATGAGGAATTCATAGGGTTAGAATTTGAGAGAACACAATGAATGAATGAACCTGCGCAACTGAAAACGATTTTAAGGTATGTCATTCAAAGTCTCTAACCATCAGTTACCATTGTCTCGCAGATCAGCGAGATAGTAGTAATCAATAGAAGCCCTGAATGACATCGCTCAAAACCGTTTGCAAAGGTGCAGGTGTATTCTTTTATTGTGTTCTCTCAAATACTAACCTTGTGATTTCCTCATCACCCTTTATTAAGTTTATTTCACTGGATTCTACTTGAATAATAGCGACGAACCGTAAAATTTATCATTACTGCTTATGCTTCTGCTACCTCTACTATTATGTGATTTGAAGTGACAATTGCATCTCTATGCTAATGTGGTATGACAACTTGAACTGAAATACGAATGTACGAAGTTCTGTTTTTGTTAAATGACTGACGCTGCAAAACACAAAAAGGGGATATCCTGTTGTTTCAGGACCTCGAAAAATGTTTTCTGCAAAATTTAAAGTCACTGAAGCTCTGAGTCTTCATTCCCAAAACCATCACAAAATGACCTTTTTAGTGATATAGCAATCTATTGAGATAGAAAATAGCACTTTATAACTTGAAAGATGATTCAAATATTTCGTTTAAAGAGTAAGTGGACGACGGCTGTTGTATTTTAATGAATTCCTGGACCTTACAGTGACCAAAGTCGCATGAAGTTTTACAGTAGTAGCTAAGTTTCATTAATCAATACAAAATATATTCTAAATACTTCATATTCCCCAAAGTTTTCCACTATTATCCTTGTAGAATATGTTGCGCTCTTAAAAATATCATAGTTTCAAATTACTTTTTGTTCCTTGTCGAGATATCACTTAAACGGAGAAATCTTTTTTTGTTAGCTATGCTTTGTTCTCTCAAAGAAGAGCTGAAATCCGTAGAAATTATACTAGCTAGCACTTCACCACGTCGAAAAAAGTTACTTGAGAATATTGTAATTCATCCCTTGAACTAATTAACCACTATATAGGGTTTACAGTTCTCCTCTGTTTGTCCTGATGTTGAAGAGTCGTTACCTTTAGATAACTTTGACTCAATACCAGCTTATATCGAAGCCACAGCTAAGCTGAAAGTGGATGCAGTGGTGAATACGTTGGATATCAGTAAAGTTTGTTTATTTTTAGTGTACATGGTAATAGTGTAACTATGTAGTTATAGGAGCGGATACTATGGTATGTTTTGAAGGGTGTGTATTTGGGAAACCATCAAGTCACTCAGATGCTGTAAATATACTCAGTCGGTTTGTTATATATGATTAATCGATATTATTTTTAGTTTGAGCGGAAATACTCATCAAGTGATAACCGGTGTTTGTTTAAACTGGATTATATCTGGAAAACAACATAAAACCGATCAATTTCATGAAGTAACAAATGTAAAGATGATTGAATTAAATCCTCGTATTATCGAGGGGTATATTCAGTCTTCAGAGCCAATGTATGTCTCTAGATGGTATTATTAAAATTTTATTTACATCATTCGTATTCAAACATGTATTGGTAGAGTGACCTTTCAGCTGTTACCTATTTTACTGTAATGGATTCTGATAAGTAATCTGTTTCTTAAGTTGTTTTTCAAATTTGTGAACAGTAGAATCCAAGTGTCACAAATAGGTAGGTAGTATAACTAGGTTTATATTTCTTTGTGTTAGTTTATGCTGTACTATTTAGTCTGTATCAAATATACAAAAAGGCAACTATTTTCTTGTCAGATAGATATTCTTTGATCTTAGTTCAGATTTAGTAAAACTACAACGTAATCTTGAGTTTAGAAATAATTTACTTGGTGAGAAGAAAAGGCCGGATAATGAAGCTATAAAATTTCATCAATGTAAGTGTCTAAAACACGTCTTATGCATCCCTAGTCAACGCTTACTCTGATTTTTGACAATTATATCTCTGTGCTGATGTGGTATGGCAACATGAACTGATGTACTTACGCACGAAGTTCTACGTTGCATCTGACTGACTTACTCTGGTTTAAAAGACTAACCAGTATAACAGTAGGTCGCGTAAAAGGTAGCTTCAGGTCGATCACAACCCAACACGACTCCATAAAGCCATCGGCTGTTAGTCTGTGTCATGCCAAAGGGTACAGACTTTCTAATCATCACTCACAAAATTACCACAGTGAATGGTCAAAACTGTTAGGTGTTTCCGCATAATCTCTCCCAGTTGAATTAATTTTCTGTCTTCCCTTGAATATTAATTTAAATTAAGTACTTAAAATTTTTCATAGACCCTTTTATTTATTTTAATTCTTCATATAATTACTTCCGTTCCTTCGTTGTTCTCTATATTATAATTCCCATCATTTTATTTCAGGGATAAAGCCGGAGCTTATGGTATCCAAGGATTAGGTTCAAGTTTAATTGAGCGAATCGATGGTGATTACTTCAACGTTGTTGGTTTACCTGTGTGTCGATTATGCAAATACTTAAAAGCTGGATGTGAAGAAATACTGTCTTCAAATTATCAAATGTGAACACATATGAATAGTTATCATTCAACCGAGTAAATATTTCTGGAAAACAAATATTATTCGATGTCAGTCAGTATTCAATCGTTTTAAAAACTAGTGAAATGTTTAAATTCACTAGAATATTCGACAATCATATTTCTTATTCTCTTATGAGATGATTTTTGAATAAAAACTATACTGTCACTGCTTTCTTCAATCTGTATTCTGACCACCTTCAGTGTATGTGCGTGTAGGTTTAAATCCATGTAGTCATTAGAAATGTGGTTCTCGCTATACAAAGAACGGTGGATTTTATTTAAATGCAACTCAATAAGTACGACAGTCTACGTACTACACCTTACCCGACCCTAGCTGCTACCTTGACGTGGTGGCCGGGCTTGTCTGTCGTCATGACCCAACCGAGCTATATGGACTGGAACACATATTCCTGTAGGTTCTACCATGCCAGGTAGGTCGATTGGAGAACGGTGAGACTAAAAGCAGCAACTTAAGGTCTGAGGGTGAAGTCGTACTGCTGACTGTAAAAAGGTGTGACAGCAATAAGGTGTTTCTCTCGGACAACCCGCATCTGCAGTGATGTTGCCTTCTCACAACAAAATGAAGGGGTTAGAGAAGGTGGGCCCTGAAAATGTCACACCTTACCCCACAGATCTCCAGGGTAAGGCGAACGATTCGAGTACACAAAACGTTATTCCTGGTCTCCTAAAAGCACGCACTAAACTACATGTTGGTGCTTTTTCGTTTTGGACCTTGTACTAAATGGGACAGCAGGCTTCCTTAGCTAGGACTTCAGAATCTCGCGCCATCGATGTATACTGCGTCTCCGAAACGCGCATACCGAGTCCGAGTGCAGTGATTTATTTGACCTCACCATGTCGAAATGCTTCGTGTATCTAAAAGCTCCACTTCTGCTTCCTGTGGCCTCGCTGGTTTAGGTTTAGCATTGAGTCTTAGAGCAGAACTAGCTCTGTTACACTGGATTCCAGTAGACAATCGCTTGTTCGCTGGCCAACTCAACGGGACAGTAACGACTCAGTAAGATAGAGACACTCGCCGTTGCCTCTTCGTCGTCTCTGACTACGCTCCCACTAAGTGCAGCTCATACGAGGTAAACGATGGATTTTACAAGAAGCTTTCGGACCTCCTTCAAAAAGTAGGCGCTCTGATGTATTAATAGCGGCGGATGACTTTAATGCTCAAGAAGGTAAACTAAGCGAAAGGGAAAGACACTTGGGTGGATCTTATAGTGTCGTGGCTCAAAGAACAGATAATTGCGACCGTCTGGTGTATTCTCAGATAATCGCCCATTCCTGGCAAATACTAACTTTAAGCATAAAGAAAAACATCCTTTGACTTGGCAACCCCGAAGTTTTACTCAATGCTGGACTTAACTTGATCACATCGCCATCAGCCACTGATAGAAGGGTTTGGTAGCAGACTCGCTCGTTCTGAGGGACATGTTTAGATTCAGATCATGCTCTAGTGTGTGCGCATACTTGTCTGTCTCTAATTGGATGTAATAAAGAAACAGCAACGAAATCCCTTAGAGTTCTGCTTAACGATAATAAAGCCAGGAGTATATTTCTGGGCAACTAGAAAAACAGCCAGATATGTAAGTAATGCCATACTCGAGGCAGCTTGGAATGATTTCCAAAAAGCTGTAAAAACGGCAGTGATATCCGCTAGTAAGGTAAACCAAAAGGCTAGGGACAATCAGTGAATTTCACTAGCATCTAACAATTTGGTTGATGCTCATAAACTCATCCCATTTGGCTTCGAACGTGATAAGGAGCGAAGTCATCTCAAGCTGAGGCTGAGGTCAGGCGCCCAATGATCGCAATCAATCGTGGTAGCGGAAGCAAATGAGATGGAAAAGGCAGTGGCAATAGGTAACAATAGTCAACTATTCAGACTTATCAAGGAAACCGGAATTACAGATCTGACTGTTAGCGAGACTGTCTCGGAAAAGGATGTGCCTATTATTCCTTCTCAATCCAGGAGGTTGGATAGATGGTCAAAACACTTTACGGAGCAGTTTAAATAGACTTCGGCTACCCACGACCTTTAGTCAACCATAATGGCAAGTTGATGCAAGTCCTCCGACTCGTAATGAAGTTGAAAAGGCTATAGGAAATCTAAAGTAATGGAAAACAGCGGGCCGCGATAGGCTTATCCGTGAGATTTTTAGGGTTTTGGGTCCAATTTTAGCAGCGAGACAGACTGAGGTTTTAGGTAGAATATGGGAACTGGATGTAATCCCATCCGACTGGTCTTAATCACTGATTGTCCTAGTCTGTAAGAGCGGACAAGTCTTCTTGTGACAGTCACAGAGAGATCAGTCTAACTAATACAGTGTCTACGATATTGGCTTCAATAATACTTTGACGCCTAACTAGTGATCATGAAGAACACACTCTAGAAAACCATGGTGGTTTCAGCTATGGATATGGCTGTGTAGACCACATACTCACACCACGTCAGGTCCTAGAACATAGACACACGTTTAAACGCCCCACAATATTAGTATTTCTCGAACTTAAGGGGGCATTCGACTCTGTTTATCGTGAGGTTCTATCTTAGTGTTTGTCATTGAAAGGGGTACCAGGAAGCACAGTGGTGTTCATCAAGGCTGTCCACTTTTAACATTCTTACCTAACTTTTTCATTAAGACATAGAGACGACGTTTTCATCCTCTGACATTTTAGGAGTTGAACTTTCACCGGGTGATTCACTTGTAGACTTGAGATGGTGGAGAGAATTGGTAGCTCAGGTGGATGATTGTGATGGAGTTTAGTTCCCTGAGCTTGATGTTTTGGTTGTGGAGCTTTCATTGTTCTTCTGCACAACATCAGCACAAACTTCAGATAGGAGTGAAGTATTCGAATTTCTCCTCGTTTGACCCGTAGCTTGTTCTGTTAACCTGGGTTTTGATTGGTTTTTATTAACCTTAAATCTGTCATTGTTTGCACCTTTATTTTGATTGTATTCCCCTTTTCATCTGTTTCTTGGTTCTGTGACACCTATGATTTTTCTGATTGGATGATAAACTGAGTCGATGTCGATGTGTTTGTTGATTGCTGGTTTACATGACTGCCAAGCTTCTAAAAATTCTCTAGTGTCCTTTGTGCTCCCCCTATCCAGTATTTCAACACTATTCCACAGTTATCCGTATGTATTGATGTAGGGGAATAAATCTGGCGTTTGACTGCTAATTGATGTTCACGTAAACGAAGCTGAAGAGGAAGTCCACTTTGTTTTTTTGACAGTTTGAGCAATTTATTTTGTAGATTGCAGTATATACAGAAGTCTCGATCGGCGTTTGTCGAATTATGTTGCTTATGGCACAGGCAAAATATTCGTCTGTTAACTAAAGGACGAGTCGACTGAACAGCAGTTCTCTCCATCCTTCTATATGGGTGTGAAACATGACCAGTTAGAGTAAAGGATATTCGAAGGCTATTAGTATTCGATCATAGGTGTCTTTGAATCATTGGTGGTATATCTTGGAACAACTGAGTAGGCAATGCTATCGTTGGGAAACAGGTACTAGGTAAGGATGCAGATCAGTTGACGGAGTAGTGAGGCTTCATCACTTGAGGTGGTCAGGACATGTGCTACATATGCTTAACCGCCGACTGCCTCGACGAGCAATGTTTTGTGGTGTAGGGGTGGGCAGGAAGAAGTCTAGCGGCGGCCAAACCAAAACATGTTACAAACCCATGAAGTCACTGACAACTGAAGTGAGCGGTGTTAGTATGTGTAGACTATCTGCTTATGGTCGGCAAGACAATCATGAACGGTGGTTAGAGACTTTGAATGACCTGGCTCAAAAGTGTTTGCGATTGCGCATATGCATCCATTCTTTGTTTTCTTTCAAATCTTCTGAATCCCTCATCACCATTGACTTTATTTTTTAATTTATTTCACTGTATCGTACTTCTTGAATGATATCGTCGAACCCTAATCTCCTCCATCAACGCTAGTACTTCTACTATACCTACCATTATTGGATATGAATTGACAATCGCATCTCTGTACTAATTTGGTATGGCAACTTGAACTGATGCACGTGCGTACGAAGTTGTATGTTATAGCTGACTGTATCATACCTTGAATGTGTAAGGTCTCGAGACACTAATCAATAATTGTGTACCGCATTTTTAAACTCTAATCCCTTTTTTGAATATCCGGTCAGTGGTATCAAATTAAATAAAACCTAACACATGTGTGCGTAAGTCCAAGTTACTACACGGCATATTAAATCAGAGAGAGGAGCTATGTAGTTGAAATACTAGTATTAACGGTAGTAAGAACTGAATGTGGTGAAAAGATTAAAAGCACGAATGAGATGGAGAAATATGAAATAATATTAGAACTTGTTAGCGGGAGAATGCATCTTCACCACTACAATCAATTCCAATCTGTAGTATCTAATGTTTCCAACTATCGATCATAATTATAGCACAAAATCCAGCCATGAGGTTTTCATTTCCTCACACTTCAAAACAAATCAGAAACCCTATTAGTTGATTTCGCGTTTGAAATGGCTACCTACCTGCTCATATCCTGACTGAAACTACAAATTAATCTCTGGTCAACATACTTCACAGCTACCTAATTCTCTCATTCGGTTCGCCTTTTTTACTTAGCTATTCACACCTAATATCAGCGTTACGCACTTCGTGGTCAAACTGCTGAACTGGAGTCTTATTTATAATCTCAAAGGTCGAAATCTATATAACTCATCTGTAAAAATCCAATCACTCTAAATACAGTCGCATATCTTTGACGTTTTACCCTATAGCCACTTTTTACAGATTGATTTAGGTATTTCATTCATTCAGGTTCACACAATAGGAAGGTAAACTTTCACATTGTGGTTCCAGATTCTACCTTCTTTATTAAATCTCACTGAATAATAATTATGTTTATGGGCGATTTGCAAGCAAATATTGGGACACTTGTTTGTACTGTTCGTATAAGGCAAATCTGTTTTATTAACTGCAAATATATGTTTAATACTAAATGTTTGAAGATAATCTATAACTAAACCTTTACTCGTAATTTTATCTTAATTGATACTTTCTAATAGGGAGTGTCTCCAAAATCTTATAAACTAATCCGATACATTCAAAATCAATCTTGTTTGTTACCACTGAACTCCTTAGTAAGCATATAAACTTACATATAATTAAA